TAGTAGTCTCAGCTAGCCCTTGGTCTAAATTCTCCCTCACTGACTGTGTTACTAATCTGTCTTCTGTCTCACTCTCTCAGTATGAACTCTGAACTTCTTGGTTTTGAGTCTTTCCTTTGCACTATTCGGGGCCTACTCCTCGCGTGTCGTATTTCCTGATTAAGCTCTTTTGATTCCTTTCGTCAATCCTGTTTCCGTATTCCTTCCTAGACTTGTCCACTTTTCGTGCGCCTCTCCTTCTGCTCTTGTTAGATGTTTTCCAGAATCACCACCTTCCCCCGTTACCAAACTTGCCCTTTCTTCTCTTAAATCTAACACTAACATTGTCATACTACTTCTGACAAAGGTAATTCGGTAGTTATCCTTGATCGCGAGGATTACCTCCGTAAGCTGATGTCTTGCTCTCTGACTCACGCACCTACACTCCCTCTCGTTTCCAACCTCTTGATCGCATCAAGAGAACTTTCAACAAAAAACAAAGGGACTCTCCCCGACCTCTGTCCTCCTGACTTTGACCTTGTTCAACGGTTTCGTGTCATCTGTCCCTCTCTTCCTATTTCTATGGCCTTCCCAAAACTCATAAACCTGATATTCCTCTTCGTCCTATCATATCCTCTAGAGGTTCTGTCTCTTATTCTCTTGCTTCTTGGCTGGCCAAAACCCTCACTCCCTTTCTTGGTACTTTTTTCCTCCTGCCCACCTCCGTCACTCTCAAGACTTCATTGAACGGGTTCGCTCTCTCCCAACCTGTAAGATGCTTATCTTGAGGGTTGAGTCCCTCTTCCATCCAATGTCCCTCTTGATGTTGTCCTTGATTTCCTTAGAGAGAAGGCCCATGAAGGGTTTCTTCATCTCCCTATCCCCACTGATGTCTTTCTTGATCTGATCCGCCTCTGTGTGGGACTCTAACTCCTTTTCCTTCCAAGGGAAATATTATTCCCAAACCTTCGGTGTCGCTATGGTCTCTCTTGCTAATCTTTACATGAATACTTCGAGACTGTTCTTCTTCCTACCCTCGATGTGCAACCTTCACTCTGGCTCCGCTATGTGGATGACATCTTTGCTCTGTGGCCTCATGACTCCAGTCTCTTCCAACCTTTTCTTGAAGCTCTTAACAATCTTGCCCCTTCCATTAAGTTTATAAAGCTGAATGGGAATCTAATTCCTTACTTCCTTTCCTTGATGTCCATGTCCACCGCTCAGATACAGGGTTTTTCCTTTTCCGTTTAACCGTAAACCTATGCACAGTGGCATGTACATTCACTACTTTTCCTATCATGCTTCCCCTGTCAAGAAAAGTGTTCTTATCTCCCTCTTTCTCCGAGCCCTCCGCATCTGTGATCCTCAGTTCCTTCCAGCCCGAAATTTCCACTCTTATAATTCGTTCTCCCCGTCTGGCTACCCTTCCCATTTCATAGACTCTGCCCCTCTAACGTGCTAAACGCAATTTCATCTCTCCCAAACTCTCTACTCATGGGAACTCTTCTATCCTCTGCCTTCCCTACATTTCCGTCTTTCTAATCTCAACAATTCTCTCCGTCCCTTAGACATCAAGCTTACCTTCCGCCAGACTAACACTCTTCGCACTAATCTCGTTCATACCCTCTCCTCCCTCTACAGATGTTTCCTGGTGTCTACTCTATTTCTTGCTCCTCCTGTCCTCTTCAATACTTTGGAGAAACTGGTCGATCTCTTTCTGACAGACTTAGGGAGCACAAAAATAGTGTTAGGCTTGCCGACACTAACAATGCTCCTTTTCTGTCACTCAGAGATCATAGCCATCCTATTGACTGGTTCTTGCTTTAAACTGTTTTTCCCTACTTCCCAACTCGAACAGTCCCGTTTAGTTGAAATCCTCTCTTATACACAACTTTCCTTGTATGAACCTTAGCCCTGGCTTTCGTCTCTGTAATGCTTCCTCTCCCATACATTGTAAAATGCTCCAAACTTCAGAACACCCGTGACGTTAACCTGAATCCTATTTTTCTTCTTCTTCTTTTTCTTCTTCCTCTTCCCCTTCCTACTCTTCCTTTTCTCCTCTGGGTTGTCTTTCTCTCTCCTGTCTCGTGTTTCTGTTCCTTCTTTATTTTATTTCACCACTCCCCTTTCACGCACCTCGGTGCGCTTGCTCTCCCTCTGTGGGTTTCTAGCTCTTCTTGCAGTGCTCCCCTTCCTTTGTATTTGACTGGCTCGTCTTCCTTATTTCCCCCTTCTAACCACTACCACTACCACTACCTCTTCTTCTTCACTACATTACTGATGAAATTAGACACATGTGCGGCGTCTGTGTTCTTTGTTGTGGACGTTTCGCCATCCAGTGGCTGGCTGGATGGCGAAACGTCTACGGTGGGGATGCCCGGGTGTTGTGCATGTGTCATTTCATCCTGTCGGTATTATATACAATTCTTGTACTACTACTACTACTACTACTACCACTACTACTACCTCTACCTCTTCCTGCCTATATATAGCCGTTCTGCTCCTCCTCTGTTAGTGTGACTTTGTCAATGGTCCAAGTCGGACCGAAACGTCGTCGTAAGCTTCTGTCTTTTATGTGCGGGTTATTTGTGTATTATGTGAATGTTCTCCATCTGTTCTAAGTCAAATGTTTGCTTATTATTTTCCACATTGAACAATGATTTTAACATTAGTGAAATTTGACTTAACTGTGGAAAACAATTTAACACAATATATCAAGAAATTTCGATTGTAATTTATTGTTTTTCTCATAAAGTAATTGTAAGTGCAACTAATAATCTGAAAGAATAATTGAAAGTATAATTGTAACTGACTTTGACTCATGTAATTATCCCCAGCCTGGTGATCACTACCAAACACTCAGAAAGACTTGCTTCTTGTGGGAGTTAGAACAGTGAGAGTCATGACTTTTCAAGGTCACATTATGTGTAGGTCAGGGACGCCTCTTCATGATGATGGCTCACTCGTGACTTCAGACTGTAAGAAAATCTAATTTTAAAGTATGGACTATAGTAAATTCTCGGCGTATATACACTGAAGGATATACACCTCTCAGTGTATATACACTGTCATTAAACACACAGCACCTTGCTTCCGGTCACCTGCACTTAACAACCTTTTATGTCTTATTTGTTCTGATTAGTTATAATCTTTAGTGATTACTAAGAGTATCCAGCATGTTAATCTCTGATTATCATTCCGTTTTTTGCGGAATATAATTACTGTCTCCTCTCTCTCTCCTCCTCTCTCTCTCTTTCTGTCTCTCTCTCTCTCTCTCAAATTCCTCGTCTCTCTCTTCTCTCTCTTCTCATCTCATCTCTTCTCTCTCTTCTCTCTCTCCGTCTCTGTCTCTCTGTCTCTCTGTCTCTCTCTCTCTCTCTCTCTCTCTCTCTCTTTCTCTCTCTCTCTCTCTCTCTCTCTCTCTCTCTCTCTCTCTCTCTCTCTCCTCACTCCTTCTCCTCCTCTCACTCACTCACTCACTCATCACTCTCTCTCTCTCTCTCTCATTAGAATATCTTAATTTAGGAACAAATTACACTCCTGTATAAATAAAGTAATTTATTTAATAACTCCTACATTACTCTAGTAACATCCACATCACACACACGTAACATAACAACGATTACAGCAACTGAATTAGCAACTGCAGTTAGCAATTACTAAATAAATATTTGACTTGTAAATACTTTCAAACGTGTTTACATTCAACACTAGTTTAATCGACGTAAAAAAAAAAAAAGTAAATACATGGCTGATTTACAGTGATCTCACTCGCACCTACTTACACTTACCACTTTTAACGTCAACACAAGTGTGGAAAGTTTGTCTTGTGTATTGTAGAGCAGTCAGAAGTGTCAGCTCTGTTGAGGACACGTTTGAGCCGCAGTGTCATGCTTTTTTTTTTTTGTATTATATTTCCTGAAGCGCTAAACCCGTGTGGGTCAATCAGCTAAATACAGTGTCACAATTTCAATAATCACTCGGAGCCGAGGCTGCTCAGCGCAGCAGTGGTCGATCGCGGCTTGCTGTGGCTGCTGGAATTGAGGTTGATTTTTCTGTCATCGGGGAGAATGGCTCCTTCCCTCGACCTCTTTCGTTGGTTCTTTGTAGATGGGGCAAAGTGGATGAGGCTGTAAATTGCCTAGCATCGATAATGACCTTCAGGAACTTCCGCGAGCATGTCTCAGTCCAGGCTTCGAAGGATAAAAGTCTTTATCTGTAAGAAGATCAATGACAAAGTGGATTTGGCAGTGATTCTCAGTTAGGACTCCATGCGAACTACCTGGGACCTGGTTATTCGGTTACTAAAGATAAGAATGGAGTAACACTGCACCAGGTCTACTGGCCCATATAAGGCAGGTCTTGGTCTTGGTGTTAACTGTAGAGATACACACTGCGTGCGCTGCTGCCGTCCTGAATCTTGTTCTGGATCCAGATACACTGTGTGTTCAGAGTGATTTGTATGCCACAACGTTATGCTCTGATCCATTCAGTGATTTGCATGATGCAGGAACGGCTATCGTACTTCCACACGAGGAACAAGGAGGTGGAGTTGTGTTGTGTCTGGAGTCGAGGGTAATGATGGTATCTGCTGTGTTCCAAGACTGATTCATGTAACACTCTAGCAGGCTTCAGCAACACTCTGCCTCGTATCTTATCACCAATAGGCTTTTTCTGGTGTGTTCATTGAGTTGTGTTATCGGGGACTCGAGTCTCAGCTCCTGGCCCCGTCGTGTATACTGCAGTCGCCGGCACTGTTGGAAACACTTTTTTATATATTGTTCTTTCGATACTTGTGGGGTTTTTTTAAGTTTATATTTTTTAGTTTCTTGCTCTTTTTTTGATTATGTCTAATATATATAATATATATTTTATATATATATATATATATATATATTATATATATTTTATATATATATTTATATATATATATATATATATATATATATATATAAATTTTATATATACATACTACAACATACATACATACATACTAATACATAATTACTGCAATTGCTGGTCAATATGGATCTCTTCATTTTATTGATCAAGTGACGAGCTCTTGATCCAAGGAATTCTGATAGTTCGCCTTTTATTCACCCTATATTTTGCATATTCCAGATAATTTTTGACACTGCGAATTCTACAAGAATTCGTTAATGCGATTTTCATATTTTTCAAAATTTGTGACACTAGTGACGGTATAATTTCAGGAACTGAATACATGAGTATTGCTGATGTGACCTTATAATTCAGCACATCTGATGTGATGTGACCTTATAATTCAGCACATCTGAGGTGATGTGACCTTATAATTCAGCACATCTGAGGTGATGTGACCTTAATTCAGCACATCTGAGGTGATGTGACCTTATAATTCAGCACATCTGAGGTGATGTGATCTTATAATTCAGCACATCTGAGGTGATGTGATCTTATAATTCAGCACATCTAAGGTGATGTGACCTTATAATTCAGCACATCTGAGGTGATGTGATCTTATAATTCAGCACATCTGAGGTGATGTGACCTTATAATTCAGCACATCTGAGGTGATGTGACCTTATAATTCAGCACATCTGAGGTGATATGACCTTATAATTCAGCACATCTGAGGTGATGTGATCTTATAATTCAGCACATCTGAGGTGATGTGATCTTATAATTCAGCACATCTGAGGTGATATGACCTTATAATTCAGCACATCTGAGGTGATGTGACCTTATAATTCAGCTCATATGAGGTGATTTGACCTTATAATTCAGCACATCTCAGGTGATGTGACCTTATAATTCAGCTCATATGAGGTGATTTGACCTTATAATTCAGCACATCTGAGGTGATGTGACCTTATAATTCAACACATCTGAGGTGATATGACCTTATAATTCAGCACATCTGAGGTGATGTGACCTTATAATTCAGCACATCTGAGGTGATGTGACCTTATAATTCAGCACATCTGAGGTGATGTGACCTTATAATTCAGCACATCTGAGGTGATGTGACCTTATAATTCAGCTCATATGAGGTGATTTGACCTTATAATTCAGCACATCTGAGGTGATGTGATCTTATAATTCAGCACATCTGAGGTGATGTGATCTTATAATTCAGCACATCTAAGGTGATGTGATGTGATCTTATAATTCAGCACATCTAAGGTGATGTGATGTGATCTTATAATTCAGCACATCTGAGGTGATGTGATGTGATCTTATAATTCAGCACATCTGAGGTGATGTGATGTAATCTTATAATTCAGCACATCTGAGGTGATGTGATCTTACAATTCAGCACATCTGAGGTGGTGTGATGTGATCTTATAATTCAGCACATCTGAGGTGATGTGATGTAATCTTATAATTCAGCACATCTGAGGTGACGTGATCTTATAATTCAGCACATCTGAGGTGATGTGATGTGATCTTATAATTCAGCACATCTGAGGTGATGTGATGTAATCTTATAATTCAGCACATCTGGGGTGATGTGATGTGATCTTATAATTCGGCACATCTGAGGTGATGTGATCTTATAATTCAGCACATCTGAGGTGATGTGATGTGATCTTATAATTCAGCACATCTGAGGTGATGTGATATGATCTTATAATTCAGCACATCTGAGGTGATGTGATATGATCTTATAATTCAGCACATCTGAGGTGATGTGATCTGGAAGAATAAAGATATTTAGTTTTGTGATCATACAGAGCATGTTTCTTTTAGTGCTGTGATCTTCAAAACACATGACTTTTGTGCTGTGATCTTACTGATCATGTGGATTTAGCGCTGTGATCTTCAGGGAGAAAAGTATCACTCGTCCAAGATTCGTCCCAAAGACTCAAGACTCGTCTCAAGACTCAAGATTTGTCCCCAAGGCTCAAAGCTCGTTCCCAAGACTTCGTCCCCAGGACTCAAGACTCGTCCCATGACTCAAGACTCGTCCCATGACTCAAGACTCGTTCTCAAGACTCGTCCCCAATACTCAAGACTCGTCCCATGACTCAAGATTCGTTCTCAAGACTCGTCCCAAATACTCAAGACTCGTCCCATGACTCAAGACTCGTCCCCAATACTCAAGACTCGTTCCATGACTCAAGACTCGTTCCCAATACTCAAGACTCGTCTCAAGACTCAAGACTTGTCCCCAGTACTCAAGACTCGTCCCAATACTCAAGACTCGTCCCAAGACTCATGATTCGTCCCAAGATTCAAGACTCGGCCCAGGACTCATGACTCGTCCCAAGACTCAAGACTCGTCCCAAGACTCAAGACTCGTCCTATGTCTCAAGACTCGTCCCAAGACTCAAGACTCGTCCCATGTCTCAAGACACGTTCTCAAGACTTGTCCCCAATACTCAAGACTCGTCTCAAGACTCAAGACTGGTCCCAAGACTCAAGATTCGTCCCATGTCTAAAGACTCCTCCCAAGACTCAAGACTCGTCCCATGTCTCAAGACTCGTTCTCAAGACTCGTCCCCAATACTCAAGACTCGTCCCAAGACTCAAGACTGG